TACCCTGTCCTTCTTTTCAACTTTCTCAACTTTTACTTCTCGTTCCCTTTTTCCTATGTTGGTTGTACCAGCCTCTCCTTTAACTTACTTATCTCATCAACAAGTCTGTACTCGAACCATCCACTGCTGTAATATCTTTTTACTTCACATTTCATTTTATTGTAGGAAAGGAATCTTCCAGTCCTGGATTTAATAACAATAAGTACAATTGGCGGCAAAGATGAAATACTGAAGGAAACTAAGTTAAGCTCGTCAACACGACGTCATGCCTTGCTGGGAACGTTTCTGAAGCCGCTGAAGCTCGAGAGGTTCCCGCGACCTTTTGTTATCGGTTTAACTGGTGGTATTGCATCCGGGAAGACGAGTGCCGCAAAATTTCTTGCTCAGAATAATTGCGAGGTAAGTAGTGATGCGACCTCCGAAAAACCATTCTCCCTTTCATATTATTTTGTTACGTTTTTTAATGAAATTCTAAATTGAACTCAACCACCTTTTAATCCATTTGATTACATATTTCGGCATGGCATCTGATTTTGGCCAATACGGCGTTTTTTAATATCATGAAAATCGAATATTCTACTACATACCTAAGTGAGAGGAAGCAGTGAGAAAGATTGGACATTCGTCCTGTTCAGAAAATCTCTATTTTTATCGTATCTGTTTTAGCCTCTTTTTAGGCTTTTGAACTCGAAATGAAGTTTAATAAGAGTTGGAACCTCCTCCATATCTTTCTTCTAGAGGCTGAAGAAATCAGAAGTAGCTTAAGTGACAGTACTTAACAACAGCGACTACCCATCCGCGGAGTTGACAAAGGTTTTTATCTTTCAATTTTTACTTTAGTACTGATGAAAAGAAAATTCTTGAATCTCTAGCATGTGCCAATATCAATGAACCATCGAAGGGAATGAAGAAATTGTGGAAAGGGCTGGACGGGATAATATAATCTTTAATGATATAATTAAGTATAGCCTTTGTAGGTAATCGACTGTGATAAATTAGCTCATGAACTGTACAGAAAAGGCACCGCTATGGCATCGAAAATTGCGGAAACATTCGGCGCGAATGTTATGCTGGATGGTGTGGTGGACCGGAAGGCACTCGGACGAATCGTTTTTGCCGATAAGGTTATCATTTTTTCATGAGTTTCTTTGCTCGCGGGCGTAAAACTGGCCCGTTTCTGCTAGTATGGGAACGTTATGAAAATACGGTAATTTTGAAACTTAATCCCTTGTTTTGTTCTTTCTTTATGAGGGACTTTTTAAAACTTAAGATTTTTGAATGATACAAGCTTGCAGATCTGCCTACCCTCGCTCAGAAGATTAATTTGAAAAGCATACTAGAGGAGGACTGAGTCTATGACAAATTGAGTACACTATTTTCCCCTCGAAACCAGTTTTTCACTCGTTTTGAATCTTCTGGTCCGACATGAAATATTCAGTGACCAATACATTGACGATTACTGGTCACTGGATATTGGCAGGAACCAAATGGAGATGTGCAGCACAGGATTAAATGCTTAAAACACCCACACTCCTCATACAGGGAGCATCCCAGCAATACTAGTGACACGGGATCCTCGCACCGGCTGGCCGAGCACTTTTACCACCTCTTTAGCAATTCTATCAAATGCTTCACGGAACGCTCCTCTTTTGTCTGATAACTATGCTCTTGTAATTGAAATGTCTCTTTTTAGGAAAAGTTGAAGATGTTAAACAAAATAGTATGGCCTTCATTGCGAGCTGAAGTGAGGGAACGGATCGCACAGAGCGAAGCAGAATATGTTGTTGTGGACGCAGAGATACTTCTGGAAGCGGGCTGGGACAAGGATGATACGGTGCATCAGGTGTGGAGCTGCATCGTACCACAATGTGTTGCCAAAGAGAGAATTGTGGAACGCGATCATATTTCGTTGGAGGAGGTCAGTTTCTGCAACTTTTGAACCCTGAGACGTCGGGGTTTCCTCCTTAGCCACATATCTGCAAGTACTACTAAAACGAGGCATGCGCAACCACTTAATTGTCAGTACGTGGATATTGCAGGATGCAGTTTCTTGGAACAATTTTTTAGAGAGAAACAACCCCCCCCC